ATTATTTTAAGCTTTCATTTAAGCTATAAATCATATGATATGATGCATTGGTTACAAAATTATAAATAAAAATCTGTGTCCAAAGACTTTCTTAACACACTGTAATATAATAAATAATATCTCTGTAAAGTTTTTTTTTTTTTTTTTGTTATTTTTTCGTAAAACTTAGAATGTATCACATATTACCTTAAATATTAAAACTTTATATATCCTTTTCTCGTATCTACTCGATATAGATTAAAAGATTTCTCAATGAATAATCATAAATGACTTTAGCATTTTGATTTCTTAAGATGATTTAACTTTTTATTAATATGAAAAAATGAGAAGAAATCGATATCCATTAAATTAAATATCTTATGGTGTTATGTATACTGTATATACTGTATATATACACTGTATATATAAACTATAGATGTAACCGTCGTTGCTTTTCGGGAGAGCTGTATCTTAAAAATCATTTGTATTTAAATTATTTCAATTGCCATGCTTAGAAAACATCAAGGCAAGCAGTATTATCGTCGATAAAACCAATATGCTACACATAGGTTGCCAATCATATACTATTTAGGTGAAAGGTGATGCATAAAAGCTCGACACTTATGAGATGCTACCAAAAGAAGAAGAAAAAGGGAATCTTATAAAATTCATATCATAAATATCATAAAAAGCTCATTAAGTTCAGGTCATGGTTTTTTAAAAAAAAAAAAAAAAAAAAGAAAGAAATTTTCATTGTGATGAATCAAAGTAATGGGATTCTTCGCTGGCGAACAGGTTGATAATGGAACCGTGTTTTGGTGAAGGGGATGAGGACTCTTCAGGAGGGAATGAAGAATAAAAACCAGGAAAAGATAATAAAGGTTGTGAGATGGTATTTGGTGAAATTGTAGAAAACAACAAGAGTTCGGAATTGACGTGGGTACCTCCCGAAGGTGATTGCACGAGAAACGGTAGCGCTTCATTAAAATGATCGATAGACTCGCCAGGTTGAAAGTACGGAGAAAGCAACGTAGGATCAGAGGATTGCGAGGATGTGGGAAGACTAGGATATTCGAGAAGCTGAGGTTGCGATAGAACATGAGAGACAGGTGACTTAGAAGATTCGAGCGCGGTCGATAGCAATGTCTCCGGTTCGGAAGGACTCAAACCCTCACCATCCTCATCCTCACCGCTATCACATCCCCCAAGATATTGTGGATCCACGTGACAAAAGGTGATGTCAGTTTTTTTCTTCGGTTGAAACTTATAATCGGGGTACTTCGATATGTGATTCTTCTTGGCCAACAACGACAAGGCCTCGAAAAGTTTTCTCACTCTTGTACCTTGCTCTTTCCAAATTTTTGCCACTTTCTTTGATGTTTCCGAGGTGTGTGACTTCTCCTTCTCTAATTTCATCCTCGCGGCATGGTTCTTTCGGAAAATGATGAATGGATTTGGTGAACGGGGAATGGTGTAAGGTGCCCTTTTGGACGCACGTTGTCTATCCGGAGCCTTGGTGAGCTCTTCAATGGACAGGATTAAGGGATAAGGGGGGTTGCGAAGGAGTTCAGACGTTTCTGGTGAATTCAACAATTCGTTAATGTAAATTAATTCTTGCGCGTAAGACATATTTATTTGAGTGAACGAGGGGAAAAGGGCATCAATTATTTGACGTGATCCAAACCAGAATTTAATGTGCGCTTCTTATATAGAGTTTTGACCTTTGAGTCTTGACCTTTTGTCATTCAATCCATAGAGAGGAATGATTACTAATCTTTACTTGATGTGAAGACTCCGGAACGATATAACCGGCGCTACAAGCGACACTGGTAAAAGAAAAAAAAAAGAAAAAAGAAAAATACAAAGTAATACAAAGTACTTTCAGGATATAATTAATATAAAGGAGTGACTCCACTACACAAACGTTTTCTATATACAGCACTGTGCCATTTGAGTGACGCGTTTGACGTATTTGAATTAGCATGCCTCGATATTCTTATTACTGATGTAATGTAACCTCTATCGTCTAATTATTTTTATTCAGATAAAAATAGTTTCAGAATAACCAGGTCTCATATGAAAATTTAATATACAGTACTGTCAATGAGAAGGTACCAGATAATCATAAAAATCTTATTCCCGAGGCGAAAATTAGATACGCACACAAACGTTTTTAATAATAATGTTCCGACAATTCGTTTTGTAATATGCAATACTCTCCGGGACGGCTGAATTTGAAGAGTGATCACACAAGAGAACCCCCTCAAAGTCGATAATTTAGCCACGCCTAATTGCATCAATGAGGAGTTTCTGAGATATTGCATTAGTTCATGGGCGTTACACGAAACTTGGACGTCACCAAATCGGGTGGACAATTATTCGCTTTTTTTAATCAAAGTAATTTTCTCTAACGAATCGTTGTTTTTATTTTATCACACATTCGAGAAATTCTAAACTCGTTGAATTCAATTACACAACAACATAGAAATCATGTACATATCGGGATTTATTCTGGATTCCGGAATTACGTGAAATTAATGACTTGGAAATTAATCTTATTAATCTTAAAAACATATACTTTATATGGAATCTAGTTGTATAACATAAGTGATATAGATGAGCATAAATCATTCGAGTCGTGCATGAGTTTCATCGCGTAGCATGGGGTAGATAATTGGATTATCAAAGGTCTCAAACAAAATCTTATCGTCTTATTTCTTCCTTGTACCAAAGAAATACATGGAATGTAATGTACTGGGCATATCATTGAGTTCAATATTGCATGAAAGCCTTTGTGATGTACTTTTCAATGGCCGGTGTAAATATTTGAAAACTGATGGTAACATTCTTTCTTTGGACCAAATTTCATAAAAAGCAAAATCATAAAGCATAAAGTCGAAATTTAATTAATAATTTCCTGGCCAATCATTATATTGTATGTCAAGGTTGTACAACGCGTCGGCGTCAAGAACGCACGGGGTTAAAGGATCATATTGCAAGGGATTATCATTGGTGTGCGCGATACCCACGTCATTTATTTGAAGGTGCGAACCGATGAGACAAGAATGGTAATTGTCATCATGATAATTTACTTCATCCGTGCTCGAAGTCACGACGGGCGAACTTAAAAGAAGAGTAGGTGAATCTGTGAACATTAATTGCGGCTGGACTGCATTGATACTATCAATGGCGAGATTTGGATAGAAATCGTGATTCGGTAGGTCGAGAATGAGAGGCGTGTACAAGGAAAGATCGCATCGCATACCGACATCGGAATTATCATCCCTAGGGGAAACAAAATATTGGGGTGCGGAGCGTTGATGTACTTCGAAAGATGATGATTCCGGTGGAGTCGTCGTCGGAAGTGCGTCGCAAATTAGTGAGTCGGAGAGATCGAGAGATCGCAAGTCGAAAGCTTCGAAAGGCTGCGAGAAGCTCGTGAGGTCGAGCGATTTGTTGGTGTCTTGACCAATTTGCTTTTTCGATTTGGGTCGGGGGTGTCTGCGTTTTTTATCGTTACCTCGGTTGTTTTTGGGGTTATACTTATACCCCGGGTATTTTCGATTATGATTCTCTCCTTGTATTTCTGCCAGAATCTTGAAAAATAATTTAACCCTGCAACTCTCTTTTTCCCATTGCTGTGCTGACATCTTGGATACGTCCTGAACTCTTAGATTCGGTTGTGCAAGTTTAATTCTTGCCCAGAAGTCCTTACGATAGAGGATATATCCATTGGGTGGTCTCGGAACCTTTAACTCGAGGGAATCATGTTCCCCCCTCTTTCTGTTGGAAGGTTTGGTGAGTTCTTCTATGGTCAAGGTTAATTCGTAGGGTGGATTTCGAATCAATTCGTGGTCCAATTTGGATCCTAAAATGTCATCGTGGAAGACAAGCTGATTACGCGACATCTTTCAAAGGAGTCTAAGAAATATGAAACCGAAGACGATTATTCTGTGGATTATTACAAAGATTCTTTTGGCTGTCTCGAGTGCCTTTTATAAATATTTAGAAAATTTTAAACCGTATTTACGATAATAATGGTCTGAATAGCAGTTTTTTAGTTGAATAGGAAGCCGGTTACATATAAATGGATTAAGCTCGGAATTAAAGAGCGGAAAGTGTAACGGACTTGTTTCTTTCTTGGACGTCCGATCTCCTCGAAAAAACAAACCAATTCCAAACTTGCTTCAACCAATCAAACGATTGGTCAAATTTTTCCGAGCGATCTTCGTGGCGCCGGAAAGATTTTTCCAACAATCAACGGTTTTACATTAGCCAATAGAAATTACAAAAGATGCGATCACTGGATTATTGGAATTTGTCCAACCCAGGTTTTATTTAATTATATTTAATTATGGTCATCAAATGTCGTCAATTAAATATATATTGAACATTTTTGTGACCCAATTGTCATAGAATACCATGCACAAAACAAAGTAACCGGCTTGACATGGATTTTTAACTCCATAAGATGAACTCTCGCAAAAACTCGACAAATTGGAAATAAAACTCATTGTTTATCGTCGATGACAAATAAGGGCGCTAAATAAAGTTGAGAAAAAATAAACAAGGTTATTGGTAACACTAACTTGGTCTTTTGAATAAAGTGAATAAAATTAATTAGATTTGGGCGCAACAAACTTTCCCAGGACGTGGTTCTCGGAAGCACTTTATTATTGTTGTTTCTGGTTCGAAGTGAGATTCATATCTATTTTTATATATGGTTTCTTTCACGTGGAATCGCCGTGTGGCGGTGTAAAAAAAAAAAGAAAGAAAGAAAGAAAGAAAACTGCAATTTCTATTTTAATTTTTACTATATTGTTATATACAGGACGCACAGTACATAATAGATCAAATTTATTTATAGTTCCAGTATAATACCTTATAAAAAGAAAAAAAACCTTAAAAAGCGTCGATAATTTTCAAAATCCCGATTATGCCTGAAAATTATAACTTTTGAATTCAAAAAGATTATTTGATAATTATTATCCAAAAGGTTTTAAATTATCACAAGTTTAATTAGAATTGATTATTTTGAATTCAAATATTATCATAAATATTTGGATAGTTATTTATGAAGGTGACAAAAATATTATTTGAAAAATTTCTGATGACCTTTTTTATTTAAAATAACTTGGATTATTATTATTATTGAATTTAAAATACTTATTTATTCATTACTACGCAATTAAATTTAATAAAAAAATGCTTATTTTAAAACTCATATTATCATCTATCATATGAAAAAAAGTTTGTCAAAATTCGATTGCTAATTATTGAAAAAATAGTATAAATAAATTAGATCTCATTTTTAAAATTCGACTACTTTCATGAGTTTAATTTTTAATAAAAATTAAAATACTTTTGTAATTTTTTTAATGTGTAATTTAATTTAATAAAAAATATTTATTTTAAAGCTCTTATTATAGATTATCATATAAAAAAATTGTTGATTATTAAATAATGAGAAAATGATATAACTAAATTAGACTCTATTTTTTAAATTTAACTATTTTTGTAAATTTAATTCTTTTAAAAAAATCAAAATATTTATATTTCGATAAATATGTAATCGAATTTAATAAACAAATATTTATTTTAAATTCACATTATCATTTATTATATAAAAATAACTATTTAAATATAATTATTAGTTATTAAAAAAATAATATATAATAATAGTAGCAAGATATCAATATACATTACTTGGACAAAAGTATCATACATCATTTATTTATTAATTATATAAAATTTTACATAATAATTCTATTTAAAATTTTAATATGTTATATTTTATATAATGAAATATCTATATATAAATCAATATTATATTGGTTACCCATTATTCTTAATAACTGTTTCTATTCTTCATAGCATACTTTCTATATAATTCATTGATAGATTTTTTGAAATTTTATTCCATTCTTCTTATAATACAATTTTTAATTTTTTTAAATTTTTTATATTTTTTGATCTATTTCTTATTTTTCTTTTCAATTCAGATCACAAATGATCAATTAGATTTAAATTAGAAAATTGACTTGACCAATCAAGTAAAATTTTAATTTTATTTTCTAAAATCTATTGTTAAACATCTTTAGCAGTATAAATTGAAGCATTATCATTTTGAAACAAATATCTCTTATAATTAAAATCACTATTAATTAAAGGTAATAAATATTTCTCAGGCATTTTAATATAATCTAATCTATTTAATTTACCACTTACTTTTACTAATGGACCTAATTCTTTATCTAAAAAATATCCCCATACTATTATTTTTCCACCTCCAAATTTACTGTTGAAACTATATTTTTAATATTATATCTTGTACCAGAAGTTCTCCAAGTATGATTAGAATCATCATTTTTAAATATTGTAAATCTGCTTTTATCACTTCATATAATAATTTTTCATTTTTGAACTGTTTAATCTTTTCTTTTAATATACCATTTTAGATAATTTTTTCTTTGTTAATCATTTAAAAGTAGTTTTTGAGCTGATATATGAGAAAAAATATTTATTTTATGTAAATTTCTTCTAATTGTCTTGGTGAAGACTTCAATATTGATTTTTTTAATAAATTTGTTTCTAATTTGTTCTACAGATTTCTTGTTATTTTTTTTAACAATTTTTTTTAAAATGGTTTTGTTTTTAAAAGTCAATAGTTTTGGATATCCAGTTTTAGGAAGAGTAGCAAGATTGTTTCTATTAAGATAATCTTTAATTGTACAAGAAACAGTTGTTCTATGAATTTTAAGAAGTTTTAAAATTTTTAATGAGAATTGTTTATCTTTATAGAGACCTATAATTTCATCACATTGACTTTTAGTTAAGTAATACATTTTTTAAATTAAAAATACTGAAAAAGTAAATGTATTTATACTTAATTTAATATTTATCTATTGAAAAAATACAAAAATTGGGCACATGTTTTTTCAAAATATAAACAATAATATATTAAAATTTTAAATAAAATTATTATATACATTTTTACATAATAATAAATTTAAGACATGTAATACTTTTGTCTATATAGTGTATCTAATATTTTAGCTTATTTATATAATAGTAATAAAAATATAATTGATAATTTTAGTCAAAGAACAAAGTTTATTACAAATAAATTTTTCAAAAATAAAATACTAATATATAGTTAACAAAAGTAGATTAAGCATAAAATAAAATAAATTGTAACAAATATCAAAAGAAAATATAAATAATATAAGTAAATATAAATTATAAATTAAAAAAAAAATACAAACAAAATGTAAAGATTTTAACTATATAAATAATTAAAAAATACTTTTAATAAAAAAATAAATAAAGATAGTTTTATATTTTTAAATATAGATATGATAAAATATAAAAAGTAAAATATTTTAAAATTAATATAAGTACTAAATGTATTATATTAAAATTACAAGTAAAATATTTGATAATAAGATATAAAGTATCAAATAAAAATGGAAAAGTAATAAAAATAATAAAAAAATTAACAAAAAATTTTTATTTATTTATTATTTAATTGTATTTTTTATTATAAATTATTTATATTATTAATTTTTAACAATTGTTCTTTAATCTAATAATTATAGTAACTAGTAACTTGTATCAATTGTATATTGACAATATACTACTATATTTAATATTTTTTAATATTGATATAAAGATATTTATATTAAAAAAAAAAAAATACTTTTTTCGCAAATCCTTTAGATTCTTAGAAATTTTCTTTTTAGATAATATACCCAAGAAAAGATACGACACACATAATTCAAGACATATATTTTCTCATAACACCAATATATAGTAGATATATTAGTATAGAAAACAATACTTCATGCATAGCTCTAGTCTAGTGACCACTGAGAAAAACACAATATAAAGTATAACCCTAACTCTCTTCTTTTTGTTAAAAAGTAGAAAATAGGTTAACATAAACTAATTCACAGTTAGAAAAGGGAAGCCAATATCAACTTCACAAAGTTTGCAATCAGGTCAGTATAGATTGATATCTTTTTTAATATTATAAGGAATCCTAAAGCAAATAGATTTGTTAAATAAATTAAGCAAACCTCAAATCCTTCAAGACCCAGAAAAATAACAAAGCTTCCCAAGGTCTAAACAGCCTAATGTATATACTCCATCTCCACACACATCAAAACATATCATCAAAGTAGCACAAACACATGCATATATATAAAGTTATTGTCAAAACAAGTTCAACAAAAGTCCATCACAATAGCACAATAAGAGTATTTAAATTGATAAGATTATGAAATACAACCATTATAACAGAAAGTGATCAATATAAATAGAGTGTTAAAGGCTATAAAAACATAACAAAATTAGTATAAACAGGTAAACAACCTAAGCAAAAAGGGAGAAATAACACATACCTAATCAAAACAAGATTAAAACACATACAAAAACAAGAAAATAGTTAAAAACAACAAGCATTATATCTAAAAGTTTGTTAACAATTACTAAAATAATACTAAGAACATATATAAATCTATTCACATAACTATTCATAATACAATACAACAATATGACAATAAAATTAATCCATACATATATCCTATCATGAATAAAGCAAAGCAGATACTTCAGATAGTAAACAATAAAAAGATAATATTATTGATATGCTAGTTCAATTGATAAAAAAATATGATAAAATAGGCAAACTATGGACTATGCAACAAATTATCAAACAAAAAGATATGACCAATCACAATGGCACAAAAATATGTATAATACTGAACAACATTATTGTCAAAATTTTAGGAATAGATAATACAACATTTTACAAGAAACAAATCCTTATATAACATATCACCTTTCTTTAATATGAAAGAAAGGGAAAAGAAGAAGATCTGTTTCAATCCTATATAGAAAATAGATA